ATTACTGGTGTCCACTACACTGTGTAAGAGGGGTTCTTTTTAGATTTGTTTGTTTTATTGTTTGGGATTCATTAAGGATACAAAGAATTAAGTTACACTGATTGCATTTGTTACGTAAAGTCCCTCTTGTAACTGTGCCCCACCCCCAAGAAGTGTGCCATACACTGTTACCCTCCACCCACCTCCCTCCTCTAAGAGGGGTTCTTTTTATTATTTTTTTCCATCAAAGTTTTCCAAAAAATTATTGCTACTGCTGTGCAAAGTAAATGTAATGCTCCAAATTAGTCTTGTCATCCAGATATGTAACTTAATTTTGAGGGTCAGCACCTTTTTTAACCTTTTATTTAATCACATGGATTATGGAGAGAAGTGGGGGTCTGGGTGAGGGTCTAGGTATAACAGAGTAGGGATAAATAGGACATTTCATTTTCTTTCAAAGTTCTTTGATGAATCACATTGATTATCACATTGTTTAAATTATATGTAACCCCCAGGCGGCCATTTTATAGCTAAGTAGTTCTTAGCTAAGTACCCTCACTCCCAATTTCTTCAACTCCACCCACCACCCTGCAAACTATTGGGAGTTTGTGAACTCTACTACATGGACAGCAACTCAGGTTAGCCTCCTTCTGCGGAAAGACAGCTTTTAATTGTGTGTTTTCATCATTATTCCTAGATCTTTCCTTATAGTCACCATCTTCCCTATAAACCACCATGTTTATGTATTACCATGTACATAACCCCCCCCCCCAACTAGCATATTAACCATCCCTTTTTCAGGTTTTCTATGTGCAACCTATTATTCTATAACTGATTAAAGTCATTATATTTTAAAATCTGATAGGATGAGAGTGCTTCTTAAGCCCTATTTGCCACTTTTTCCTTAGATGAATTTTGCTTTCATTTGGATGATATGTTAGTGTTAATTGGTATAAAAATAAATATGCATTACTTTCTCACACATCTCTACTGCATTTGGTATGTCTTCCTCTATGTCCTCATTAATACTTCATAATTTTCTGTTAATAAATCCCAAGTATTTCAAGTAAAAATGATATTAAAGTTTGTTCTATTATGTCACTAGAGTTGCTACTAATTGTATGCCTTTATTTTAAATGTCAAAGTTTTGCAGCTGGAATAATTGGTTGACTGCATGTGGTATTCTGAGTATATAATTGATACTGAGTTGTGTTGATATATTTTTTGTATCACCACACCCTATCCCAAACTCAACCCCATCCCACCATCCCCAACCCTTCTTCTCCAGGCCCCACCTCCACTCTACCCTCCCCTCCTCACCCTCTCTTCCCAGGGCCCCACCCTCCACACTATCCCACCCTCCCCAGGGCCCCATCTTCTTGATATCCCACTTTCTCCACCCCTTCTTCCCTGGGCCACACCTGCACACTACCCCACTTCCCCATCCCTTCTCCCCAGGGCTCCACCTTCCACACTATCCCACCCTCCCCAGGGCTCCATCTTTCTGATATCCCACTCTCCCACCCCTTCTTCCCTGGGCCACACCTGCATACTACCCCACCTTCCCCATCCCCTCTCCCCAGGGCTCCACCTCCCTGATACCCCACCCTCCCTACCCCTTCTTCCTAGAGCCCCACCTCCCTACTACCCCACTCTCCCCACCCCTTCTTCCTAGCAACCCACCTCCCCAACCCCCACCCTACCCTCTTGACGATGATTGACGCTGAAATGATCAGGACACAATTTGCACTTAACCACTAAATCTTTATTGAATTATTCTTATAACATCGATACAATATTAGTAAATAGAGAGAAATACAGAGTAAAGAGAATACAGCAATATAGTTTGAAGGGTGGGGGAGGGAGAGGTGGGGTAAGGAGAGGAGGCAGGGGAGGGGAGGGCTACTGACAGGGGGGAAAGCAAGGGTGTTTATTCATCACTTTCCTAGAACTTCCATGAATATTAACCATCTATCATGACCAATTTCATTCCAGCAAAAATTTCTCAAAAGGTATCTATCCTCCATCTACCTAGGGCATCTACTAAACTGTTAACCTTTGAACTTTTTCCCCCTAGGTTTTATCCATGTCCAATTCACTTTAAGTAAGTTGATCTCCCTGCAGTTAGTTCCCTCTGTGTTTATTTGGAATCTTTAAGGGTAGGAATTATAGGGTAACAGGTCATAAGTAAGTACACATGTCCACTTATAGAGATATCTAATACATACTATTATTCTAACTTTCTAAATAACCCCACCCACTTAAGATTACTTAATAGTCCCTCCCACCCTAAAATACTTATGATTATATATATCCCCTATTACTTAAAGTGATTACACAAAGAAATAAAACAATGCAATTTTCCACAGACCAACTCAACAGCATTCTACAATCTGAAACAACAAAGAACTTTCAGTCCCATCAGATGAGTGCTCTCTCTTTAGATGAAAATGGAGCATGGTTTCCACCGGGCTCTTCAATTCTCCAGGTGGTCCCTCATTGCTGCACAGGTCTTTTTCCAGCAGGGTATTCTCTGTTGCCAATCTTGAAACTGCATCTGATGTGGGATGTCTGTGGCGGATGATGACTGGATCAATTCAGAAGTCCAAGAGGTACCTGCAAACTTAAACAGAATTCTAGACCACACCATATAGATATACCCCTTCAAGTTCACTATCCTACTTCCCATGATTTAATCAAATTCTTTTTTTGGCATCTAAGACAAATACCTCATTGTTCAAACTAAACTGACCCTTCAAAAATGTATGTAAACTTTCTCTGTCTCAGTATCCTAGCATAACAACCTTAGCTAGTTCTCCCTAGACTTTCCTAATAGGAGCTTTTACATCGCCTTCTTCCTAAATTCTGATGTTTTGATTTATCCACCTGCTTTGTTTTTATTTTGCTCCCTTTCTAACTTCTTTAGACATTACATTCCCTTGCTTTTTCCTTTCTTATGAATAAAGGCATTTCTGTTGGAAAATGCCAAAAAAAAAATTAAAGAAACAAAATTAAAATAACAAAAAATTGATTAACAGCAATAAAATAAATCAATTAAGTGAAAGGAAACTTAACCAAACTTCAATACTATAGAATAATAAATTTAAAATTACTTATCCTTATCATCTACGTTTATAGATAGCATATAATATAGCAATAGGGCATAGCACACACTGCCAAACAGTTAATCACAAGCTTCAGGAAACAGTCATTGTGTGTCAGGGATTTTGTGAGTTGTTAACCCACATCAGCATGCTCTCCCTGACCATTGCTGTCGCTGGCCAGCTTCTCCAGACTTTTGATTGCAGAGGTGGCAAATGTCCGTGTGTGCACATGCCAGGGAAGGGGAACTGCAGACAAGGCCCATTTCAAGGCACTCTGCAGCTTAAAGGATCAATTGACAACCATAAATTTGACACAGAACAACGTGAATTCAAATCTATGGAGATGAATTGATAATGAGGTATACGAGTGTAACGCTTCAAAATCGTTCAGAAGCACAAATGCACCACTTTAAAAATAATTACTCAAAAACACAAGTGATTGACAAGCTTTCTGATTCCATTGAAAAAAATGTATTAGATCAATAGCCAATTAGGTTTCTTCTCTGAAACTGTATAATCATTTTGTATAATTTTAAAGGCCTAATTGATAGAAGTGAAATTATATATGATATTCAAATTGAAGATTAAGGATGAACAGGTTAAAATATTACACAAATACTCCAGTTCTAAGGAGCCTCTCATTCACAGTATTGTAAGTTCACAGCAAAGAAATACTTTACACTATGTTATTTATCTCTTATACTTAGTTTAACTCTAAGAATTATATTTTGTAATTCAATGGAAATCTTTGAAAGCATAGTCACCACTTTAAAACACTGTTAAAGAACACTACTACTATAGCTAAAAATATTTAAACATGCAAGAATAAGGGTGGGGGATAATGGATATGTGAAAGATGATGCTAATGAAAATGAAACTTCACCATCAGACTCCTTCTCATGACAGGCAATGGGAAATAAAACCATGTTTTCTACTGCTCAACCTGTGTTTTGGCAATTGAAGCCTGCCTCTTTCGTCTCCGTGCATGGCAGCAAAAATGGAGTCTCAGCAACCAGGCAGGAAGATGACACCAATCCTGCAGCAGAGTTACTGGCAGTAGTAAAGAATTAAAAGAAAGAGAGGTTAGACAAACAGTTCAAGGTGGTAGCAAGGGACCAGGTTAAAGGAAGTCAGGCAGTCCCAGGTTAGCACAAAGCCTCCAGGAGACACCAGACGTGTCACTGGATTGAAGACAACTCTTGTGTTGTCTGTTGCTTTGTGTCGTCTGAACCTTGGTCATCCATTGAATGTGCTTCTTAGAAGAAGTCTAAATCCTCAAGGCAGTATCCAGTGCTCTAATTCCCCTTCTTCAAAGACATTGCTCTCAGCCACAGAAATGCAGATCTGAGTGCCCAATCATTTCCTCTCCAGACATCCTAATGCTACAGTCTAAGACCGCACTTTCTTTTCAGGCCTGAGGGGTCTCATGTTTTTTTGCCTGCTTCTAAGAGAACTGGTCGAGTTGCTGCTCCTTGAGAAATAACAGAACCACAAAAATGGAGTTTGAAGATGGTGAAGTTTTTAAGGGTGCAGCAGGAGGATCACGGAAGCCTTTCCACACTGCACCAGTTATTTTGGCTTCCTTTAAAGGGCTGAAACAGCAAGAAAAGTCATGTCCTCCTCTTTGTCTCCCCCTCCATAAAGAATTCAGCATTTCCTGTGTTTGCATCAGCTTCTCTGTAAATGTTGAACAAGGAATTTGGCAGCCTGTAATTTAGATGTTGATAGAGGTTTTAGCAGGTAAATCCCAGGCACACAGTCACTGATTGGGAAGCTGAACAGGAATGAATTTTGAGGGCAGAGATCCTGAAGGACACGACGGGTCTTTACATGGTACTGTAGGACGGAGGCGGCGGCGGCGGCGGCGGAGGCGGCGGCGGC